TTCAGTAGCTGCCCTGAGAAGATTCACTTCAGTCGTGCAGTCACTTCTTAATCTGTAGGCCACGTGCACTCGGTGACCTTGCAGGAAAATTCCTGGTGTTGGGAGTGTCTGGAAAGTCCTGCTGCCCCCACCCCGGCAGTCTTCTGTGGGTCTTCTCGTGGGTTCCTGATATCTGTGAATTTACTGATCAGAACTTTTGATCGTTACCACCTGTGGCCTGTGCTGGCTTCTCTGTCCCTAATGGGCTGGGGCAGCACCGGGAGCCGTGATTGGACGGCTCAGGCCACAGGAGATGGGAGTGGCCATTGATGGAGCTTTTGTCTGATTTGAAGCGCTTTCGCTTTCTTCATTTAGCAACTTAAAATGCCTTATTCTTCTGTGGGCGCTGTGTCCTTTCCGTGAGCACAGTTTTCGAAATAATGCAGCTGCTTTAACGTTGACTTTTTCTCTTATGGAAAAGGACCAAACTCTTTCACGGGATCTTCTGGGACACTGGCCGGTGCTCATGATGCTCACTGGGACCCGAGAGAGAAGCTGTCTAAAAGGTAATGTGTTTGCTGGACACGCCCCTCTTTCCCTCCCTCCCCCTGTGGGCGCGAGGCTGCACTGGCCGCAGAGACTAACCAGAGCCGGGAGGGAGCACCTTCATGCCGTTTCCCACTCGGTGGGCCGCCGCCGAGTGCTGGGCTGTGCCCGCCCTTCAGGGGAGCTGCCCAGGGAAGACCTGGCTGATGGTCCGAGACGAGGCTGCGGCTGGAGGAAGGTGCTGTTTTTAGGAAGGAGGAGGGTGTTTTGCCCTTTTCCTACGTGGACTTAGAATTTACTCATGATTTTAATTCTAGGAAAGTCAGGGCAGGATTTAACTGAGAACAAGTCTCTCTCATTAAACTGTTCCCTGACATTAAACTGACTCCTTGGTGACTGGTTCCCATGGTGATGAGTAACCTTGTGCCCGCCCCCTGCAGCCACGAGGCAGGAGTCCCTGGGGGCGCGGGAGCCCCGGAGAACCTGACCTTCAGGGAGCGCCAGCGCCTCTTCTCCCAGGGGCAGGACGTGTCCAACAAAGTGAAAGCCTCCCGCAAACTCACGGAGCTGGAGAACGAGCTGAACACGAAGTGAAGGAAGGAGGAGGCGCGCCTCTGCTCCCCGCGCCCTCCCGCCGGTTCTGTGGGGCCCTGGTGCTTCCGGCTAGGCAGTGGCTGGGGTTCAGGATGCTCAGCCCGGGAACTGCTGTTTACCAGCGAGGCCACGTGCGCAGGGAAACCCTGGGCTCCTGTGACCTCCCACTGGGGGCAGGTGAAGGGCAGGAGGTGCTGAGGCCCCCCGCTCCCCTTCTCCCGGGAGCACGGAGTCCTGTTCTCTGCTCAGAAGCCTGCTCCCGCTCAGAGAATAGCTTGAACTACCCAGAGGGTGTTTGCACTACAGAGGGCAGCTGCGCTGTGGACAGTCCAGTCGGGCGGATCTGCCTGGAGCACCGGCTGCGGAGGGGGCGGGTGGAGGTCCAGCCTCCCTCCTGCCCCGCCCGCTCCTCAGGTGCAAGCCCTCCTGACCCGCTTACCTATTTGATGGGAAAACTTTCTCAACAGAACATTTTGAGGCTTTAAGCTTAGGAAATTTTATTTTTATAAATACCAGATTAGTTCTATTAAACCACTGGTGATTTTGAAGGTGGCAGTTAGCGTTAGAACGTTAACTATTTCAGATGCCTGAGGGGATCTGTGAGGAGCCAAGAGCTCAGTGTTGCGTGAAAAGGAGCCGGTGTTAGGATGGTGTCAGGATGTGAGTCCTGGCGAGGAGCAGCCGCTGCTCAGGGATTTTACATTCGGCCGAGAGCGACGCCCCATGCTGCGGGGGGCAGGGGGGGCTCTGCCACCGGCCCCTCATTTACATCCTGAGAATGACTTGTGTGGCAGTTCAAGCTATTTTTGTACACTCTGGTAGGATTATTTAATTTCCATTTGTTGAATTATTAGTTACCACTGTCGTTTCTTCAGCTGTGACTGTGTGGCTGATGTCGGGGAGGCGGACCTCACTTTGTTTTATATTGTGTGATGTTAAATGGTAAATTACTTTGTGATTATGATCAAATTTTCTATGGACAAAGCCCTGAGGTGGGGTTGGGAGGCTTTTCTGTGCCATGTTGCTGTCTGACAAATGTGTCTGTTAGAAACCCGCACACTTTCATGGAGGGGGAGGGGCTTCCGGCCTGGGACCCACGGGTGAGACTGTAGGGTAAGCCTTTCCAGGGCGCGTGTCAATCGTCCACGCGGCCAGGGCTCTGGTCAGGGGGAGGGCAGCGGAGGGGCCTGCGTGGCTGTGAAGGATCGCACGGTGCAGGCGGCTGGAGAGCAGGCTCCTCCCAGGCACCTCGAGACACTGGCAGCCCCACAGGGCGAAGCTCACATGTCCCCCAAGAGATGCTGTGGACCAACTGCTGTTCTATTAACATATGGAAAGGCCCGTGCCCACCAGCACGTGAGCGACATGCGGACACTGCACAGGGCCCACCAGCACGTGAGCGACATGCGGACACTGCACAGGGCCCACCAGCACGTGAGCGACATGCGGACACTGCACAGGCCAAGGTGGTGGCCTGCCCTCCAGGCGGGTTTGGCCTTTCATGACTGCACTACTGTGGACACATCCAACTGCTGTAGCTTCCATTCTACTGTATTCCAGCCCAGCCTATTTTTAATAAACTTTGTATGTATTTAAGTGCATTTGCTGTTGTTGATTTTAGTAGCACTGGCGAGATTATATTTGTAATATCAGCCTCCCTCCCCCTCCCTCCTCCCTGTCTGTCATTCACTAAACAGGAGCCCAGTGTCCTGTCCTTGGGGCAGTGTTCCCAGGTGGTCCCTGGAGCAGGCGATGCGGCGGGACTGGGGGGGGGGGGGGGGTGCTCTCAGCTGGGCCCATTGTCTTCATGCAGGCGGTGCCCTCGGCCAGCCACTGGGGACACTGGTTCCACGTCCCCCACAGCAGGTCAGAGACGGTGTAGAGTCTGCATAAACATGCAGCTATAAAGAAGAGGGACAGGGCACTTGAGGGTTTAACAGAACAACCCCTTTTGAGTCGAGATGGCAGCCTCTTTGGGAAAATGAAATTCTTCCCTTCGGGGAGCCGAGGCTGCTGAGGCAGAGGTTCCGCCCCCGAGGCAGAGGCTGCTGAGCTGGTGCCTGGAGCCCAGGCAGGGATGTGCTAGCTGTGGGTTGGGGCGGGTGCAGGAGGCCGAGGTCTGCGCCCTTCATCCAACTTCCTGCCGGGTCCTCCTGAGGGAAGCCTGGTGGCCAGGCTGGGGCGACGGCACCCCTTCGTGCTGCTGTGAGTGCGTCTGAGCGGCAGGGGGCTGTCGGGAGCAGCTTCCTTTAGAGCGGCCCTGGTGGTGTCTCGGGTCCGGTCCACACCTGTTCCCTGGGCGGTGCCTCTGCCTTTCTAAGTGCTTATGGAGGCTGTGGGGCAGATGGCCCCACCTTCCACTCGGGCAGTGAAGGTAAATGCACCAGCAAGCACTCCCGCAGCAGAGGGAGGAGCCTGCGAGCCCTGAGGTCAGCCTGTGGCGTTAGAGTGCTGCCTCCCCATTGGTCCCCGTCCCCGGGCAGCCCCAATAAAGCCAGCCCCCCAATAAAGCCCCCCCCCCCATAAAGCCAGCCCGGCTGTGCGGACCCGACACCCAGAACAGCAGGTGGGAAACAAGAGCCAGCGGGCGCTCGGGGCTTCTGTCCGTTTGTCTGGTTTTGTGTGTTGGTTTGCCTTTATTTCTATTAAGTATCACAACCTGAACACTTGGAAATTACGAACGTGGAGTAGACGTGGAAACTGTCCGAAACCCTGGAGGGCCTGTGGCTACAGAGTCCGACGGTCAATGAACCTGTGATGTCTCCTCCTCCTTTCTAGTTGTTTGATTTCCAATAAAATGCGAGTGATGCTCAGAAGACCGGGCTCTGGGGCTGGTTTCCCTCCAGTCGTTCCTGCAGCCCCACCTGTGGCCACGGGGACAGCGGGGCCCGCACAGTAGGAACAGGGAGGAGGCAGCGCTGCCCATGGAGAGCCTGAGTCCCGCCCAGTGACCCTGTCCCTGCAGGACCCTAAGGGAACCCCGCTGAGCGGGGGCGGGACCCTGTGCCCTCGGCG